GTTACTTACTTCTTCAGAATAAAATTCCATACATAAAAAGAACATAACTGATTTTTTTTGTCTTATCAGTATAAATTTCTTTAAAAAAAAAAATTAGATCAGATTAAGTGCTGAATTTTAGGATGCCGGATTAGGGGTCCCATACCCTCTTTTCTTTTCCCCAACCCCTTTAAAAATAACTGATTGATTCCTCCTAAACAGCTCCATTAGAAATGACAGGTGGAGGAGGTGGGGTGGGGCGTGCTTAGTTATTTCTTATTCTTGTTATTATTAGCTGTTTCGTTATTATTAGTCTTTCCTCAAATTGTTAACTGCAATAATTTTTTAAATCTTTTAATTTTAATAAATTTTTCTTTTTTTTTTCTTATTACATTGTTTTACGGATTTCTGTAATCAGTCCAGCTTAATTCAGCTGCTGAGCATATAAATATTTTTATTATTTATTTCTGCTGTTCTTCTGTTTTTTGGCTCGGTGCCAACTGGTAAGAACAACTTTATTTTCTATCGTATTATTTATTATTTTTTTTGCTGAGAGAGAAAATTTTTTTCACAAGAACTCTTTGTTAACGCATTTTAGGCTTCCCCCCCTCAAATAATTTAGAAATTATGCTATGTGATGTATTTAAAAAAATTTGTTGTACTTAACATCATTTTCAGAATTATTTGTTGTACTTAACTTTATTTTTTGGCGCGGTGCCACAGATAAGAACAACTTTATTTTAGATCGTTTTGTTGCTTTTTTTTCTTCTTTTTGCTGAAAAAGAAATTTTTTATTATAATTTAGAAATTAAAACTTTACTTTATGAGATGTATAAAAAAATTTAATTTTTTATTATACGGATATTCTACATGGTAATTTAAAGGTTTCTTCTATAAGGATGCTGATATGCGCGGTTTAGCGCCAATGCGACGTGTGCGCCGGAGCGGCCCTTACTATACCTTTTTTTAAAAAAATTTCATTTTTATCGATGTGCAGCGCTTTCGCCGAAAAATACGGTAATAATGATCTTTCCAATTTGTATTGATAAAATCCTTAGAAATCAAATCCTTAAAAATTAATGAATTAGGGTAGGAAATAGTACTTCATCCACCATATGCACTCAATATAGCATCATTGGATATTTCTAAATTCAGATTTGGCACAACAAATTTTAGGTGGCAAAAATTGCGAAAATTTGGATTCCCAAAATGCCATTTCCATATATTTTACTCAAAGTTATTTAATTGATCTAGCATTGAAAATTTAAACAATAGATGACAAAAGGTAGTTGATAAAATAGGTAAATATTATTAAAATTAAAAGAAACTTTTTAGAAATTTATTAGTAAGAATTTTAAGTGAAAAAACGACATTACTTTCCAACCCAACCTCATATCTAAAATATAAAATATAATATGCAGAAATATCTTGCTTGATAAGTGGGAGTTTAAGGAAGTGGTACCCAACCTGGGGTATGAGGCAACTCCAATAAGGGAAATAAAAACAATATTATAATAGTCTTTCAAATTACTAATATCTTTTAGAAATTAAATGAAATTTTAATAAAATTTGGTCCATAAGTTTTTGACATACTCTAAAGCAACTTAAAGAACTGATTTGTTACCAGTACATCACAATAACTACAAAACTTGCATCTGTTTTTAGCAATTTTTTTTTATTGCCAACCAGTTTTAGCGAATTTCCACTGGCATATCGCGTCAATTTCGCGATATGCCAGAAAGGAATCAAAGATTGCAACTCTAAAAATTTATAATTTTATCAGAATTGCATGCGTTTTTTTAACACAAAGTGACATTTTATTAGAGAAAAATAGCACAAAATTAAACTCAATCTCAGTCGCGATGCAACAGTATCGCCATGAAAACCCATGAATTTTCCCAATTACCATGCATTTTTCCCAATATGAATTGCGATATTGGATTTTAAAATTGTGTGACTATGAATCCATTGGATTTTAAAAACGCAAAAACAGAAATTGTGATATTGAATTCCAATTCACATAAATACCAATCATGATACATAATTTATAAATCACATATAAATACAAAAATAAATTTACGATATTACAGTGGCGGATCAAGCGGGGGGGGGGGGGGNGGGGGGGGGGGGGGGGGGCATGACCCCTCCCAAAATCCAAAAAAAAATTTAAATAATAATTTTTTTAGTAGTTCACAAAAGAAATAAAATATTTTAAAAATTATTCAAGGGGGCATATACACCTAGGTAGGTAGGAAAAATCAATTTTTTTTCCATCTAAATATGTTCTTCACTGTTTCAAGAATCATTAACAATGTTGAAGCGCGCTTCAACAGGTTTAACAAAAGATTGTATTTGCCAAAGTTTGAAAAAAAAATCATTACATTTATTATTTAAAGATTTTGAATACTTGAACTATTTATGTATTGTTCATTATAAAAAAAATAAATGAGACGCATTAAAAACCCCAGTTTCTTTTTTGTTCAAAAAAATATTTAAAAAAACATTTTATAAAAAAAATTAATTGTGGGGGGGGGGATCTGAGTCTATGACCCCCCCCCAGGAAAAATTTCTGGATCCGCCCCTGATTACAGCTGCATGAATATGTATCGTAATATTGGATTTTAAAAGTGAGTGAATATGAATCACAATGTTGGATTTTAAACTAGTGTCAATATGAATCACGGTTTGGGAATTTAAAATGCTTAAACACAAATCGAGATATTGGGTTTTTAATTCATATGAATAGGAATCGAGATATATGATTTTTAAATCACAGTTCCAAATTTTCAAAATGGCAAAAATTCTCAAAACCAAAAGAATTAAAATATTAGACATGTATGTAAACGTCTTGTTAACGGGGGATTTAGTAAAAGTTCAGAATTTTTGATGAACTATAAGTTTTTGATTCACGTACCAATGGTCTTCAGATACACGGAATTCTGCGATATTCACGAAAAAATCACATGCCCTGCTTCAAGCTTTTAGACCTGAAAGAATGATACAAAAACCTGGAATACAATCACCTATGAGTAGACCAAACAAATGTATCCCAGGAAGCAATACTTAACCTTAAAACTTTAGCAGCACTTAACCTTTTGTTTAAAAAAACATCAGTAAGGAATATACAAGACAAATGTATCCCGGTCAGTAGCACTTAACATTAAAAAATCATCAGTGTAGATTAAATTACAGATATTAATAAAGCAAAAATACTTCAGATATATATCAGATCCTTTCTCCCAGGCAACATATCGGTTACTGCTAGGCATTAATTTATGTAACAAAACTTAACTTTCAACACTCAAAATTCTGCCTTCATACTCATAAACTTCGTAAATCAACATAACAAAAATATCAAACTTCATAACAATGAGTTTAAATCTAAACGTATTTACAAAATGTGATAATACCCACCCACCTAAATATTCAGTCTGCACAAAAACAAAAAATTAACGTAACAGAAAATTCATTCTGAAAACAAAATGAGTTGAAATATCCAACTAAATATAATATAGTTTCTTACTGGCCTTCGATGAATTTTCTAATGTTTTCTAAAAATGTTTGTAATAATGAAAACATTTAGATTTAAATTTTTTTCCTGAAACCAGTAAAAAAAAACTAAACATTGAAAAAAAGTTTATCAGATCAACTAATCCTGGCAATCTGATTAAAAAAAAGAAGATACCTCATTAATATATGGTCAGTAAAGAAAAAAATATGGCAACAACTTAAAATTTTAACAAATAGTTATTATCTTCTGAAAATGCTGGTCCAATAGGTTTTTTTACTCATTAATGTATTTCTGTTTTATTTTTCCAAGATTTTCAAAAAAGGGGTCAGCACTTGATTTATTTCTGAAGTTTTTTTTAATGTTTTGGCAATTTATATTTTATTTTGACGTGGCTATTCTAACAGTAACTTCATCAGTATTTATTTTTCTTATTTGTGGGCGTCTCTTTATCATGTCGTAGTTTATGTACTTTTGGTCATTATTTAGACCTACTTTGTGATTGTTTGTCATTTATTTTTCTTTGCATTTACATTTCACTTTTTCTAATTGCTTTTTCTTATTTGATTTTCCATTAAGGGCCCTCGGGGTACTGTCAGATTTTGGTTTCACCACTGACAACAGAAAGGCTCCTGCGTGTTCGCAGGCAGGCAGTGTGTCCCCTGATGAAGTGCTGTCCTACTATAACACACATCTTAAATTTTTATTGTTTTCTGCTAAAACTGTTTTTTTTATTTTTTTTTTTTTTTTTTTTTTTTTTTTTTTTTTTTTTTTTACTTTATAAATTGAAATAAAACAAATTTGGATTTAGCTGCTTTAAGCGCTTTTCTATTTCGATTTATTATTTTAAATGTTATTTTTTTGTCTTTTTCTGAATTTGTAAATTAGTTTCATTCTTTGATTAGATGTCTAATAGGCTTGCTATCTGTGCATGTCTAATAGGCATTGTTTTCTGTGCATATGTTAAAAATAAATAATGTAATAAGTTTGGTGCTGTTCCTGACATGAAAGTATATATCTTGTAAGCTTGATTTTAACATACTTAGCTTTATAAAATAGACCACATAAATAAGCCAAAATATATTTCTTAACTTTTTGACAAAGTTGAAAAATTGTGTGAATTCTCATTCCAAGTGTTTATGTGTATAGTATGAAGTTTAAGTGGTTGAATTGAAATTTGGTATAAGAAAGTAAAAAGGTAAAGGTGGAAAAAAACTAATAAAAACATTCTTTATGCAGAGATATCTGTAAAACAATGAAAGAGAAAAGAGGTAATGACAAAATAAATAATCCAGCAGTGAGAAAAAAAGGTTAAAAGCACTGTTCTAAAGTTAAAGTTAATATTAATTTAATTATATCTAAATGGTTAGCTCTTAGTTTAAGTTTAAAATTCATAGAACATTTAGAAAGGTTCAAAATCATTTTATAAATCTAAACTTACCAGTGGGAAATGATTCGCAGAAAAAGTAATTTTAAATATTGTAACAATTTGTTTAAGAACAAATATATTTACCTGAGCAATATTTATCCATTTCACGATGATTCTGGCCCGCATTGCTGCTTTTAATGACGAATCTGACAAAACTGTGCTAATAACTCGCAAAGAAACAGCATTAAACTGATTAACAGTAGCAGTCACAGTTAAAGGAGAAACCTTCCACCCAGATAATTTATCCCTATGAGACCAAACTGATCCAAGACACTGGTATGGTACAAGTTTCTTGAAAAGTTCCTATATGTTCCAAGAAAATATTTTAATTTAATTTAATAGAAAGATGAGAATAAATTCAAATAATAGTATAAATAATTTAAAGAAAATTACATATAACAGATGCTTATTACAATGATGATAAATATCAAACAATTTTTCAAAACAAACATTAACAAAGAATAAGGTAGTAATTATGGATTAATAATTCACATTTCAATTAAATAATAATTTTTTTTCTTCAAAAATATCAAAACCAGGTGTTTTATCAGGAAGGATTTAAGAAATACACTATGTCTAATAAATAATTTAATGAAAAATTTATAGATGATCCAAATTTTTAAATAAAGTTGGTAATCATACAAGTTTTTTTATTGAACTAACAGAAAAACAATGTAAGTTTAAAGTCATATTCTTAAGTTGTATTCTTGAGGTTTTTCTATAATCAATCAAATATCTATAATGCTTATCCCAAAATAAATAAATAAAAATAGTTTATTCATTTTTATCCTATCATTTGTTTAGGTTCAGGACATTGACTTATCCACCATCCAATAAAGACAAAGATGTAATTTTTCAATAATATTTTATGCATATATAAATGATCCTGCCAGAAAACTTATAGTTTTATTTGAAGAGCTAAAAAAAATAAGGTTAAGACATCTTAAGCTAAGTGTAATGCAAAATAATGATAATAAATAAATAAATAAATTGCTAAATTTAAAATTCTGCGAGATTTTAAGAAAAACTATTTTTTGAACTATTTTAACTAAAATGTTTAATAAATGCAATCAAACAAACTAACATGTTTCTTCTTGATATTACATTAACAACTTTTTAATCTGACTCGAAGAATAAAAAAAAAGCAAAGCTATATTATCAATGATGAAAATGAGAACATATCGAAATAATAATTCCTGTGAGCTTATAATGCATCTCTCTCTTCTTAAGAGACTGTAGGGACTATTATGTAAAGAAACCTCCATAATTTATAGAACAACTTCCCTTTCAGCTAATGGGGCAAAAATATTAAAAGCAGTGCACTTGACATAATCATTGCATCAAATAAAATTGCACATGCATCCGTTGAAGTAAAGTGTAGAGTAGAGAACCAATTATCTGGAACAATCGGGGCCATCACTATTCCGGATAACTGATTTTTCTGATTTTCTGAATGGATACAAAATGCTATCTTTTTTATTGTTTATGAAACCCAACTAAAAAAATTATTTAGAAATAGTCTTAAAAGGAAGAAAAAACAATACAGTAATACACATAAGTTTAATAGGATAAAAAGGAGAAAAAAATAATGAAATACAAAGTATATAACAGGCTTAATATAAAGTAAGCAAAAAAGGTAAAATAAAAAAAAAAGTATCAGCATTTTTAAAAAAAAAAAAAAAACTCATCCATTCTTGGTTTTTGTTGCATGAACAACTAATGAGTCAACAAGTCTTTCAAATTTTCTGGAGAAAAGAAAACAAAATTTTTGACTTCATTTTTCTCAAATGAGAGGAGGAAGATGATGAGCATTTCTTTCCGATCGCGAATAAGGCATTTTTTCAATATAATTCTGAGAAGAGAAAAAAATCTTTCAAAACTTTCTGCAGAAAAGAAATTTAAAATTTTTTACTTTCCAAAGGAAACATCTTTCCGCAAAAACTCTCTAACATTCTGTGACAATAACGCCATGATTCTGATACACGATTATTAAATACTATCTAAAAGAGTTTAACTTGGGTTTCAACAGTTTGCTAAAATATTAATCGAAATCAGAAGGAAAAACACATGTATCACAATCTTATTCCTCATTAAGCTGAGCGATTTTATTTCTCCTCCACTCCAGTTAAACATAAATTGGCAAGCTGACACAGAAGCTGACATAATAAAAAGAATTTATGTTCTACCCCTCCTCACACCCCATTCAAAATGAATGAATTGAAAAACAGGTGCAGTTGCAATACTTGACCTTGAGTCATTACTCCATTTTCTCATGTTCAAAGACTAAATAGCAGAAATGACCAAGGGCGCCGGCAGTGGGGTGCACTTGCACCCCCCTGGCTTTTTTTAAACAATTAAAGAGATACAGAAAAAAAATTTGGTTATAAAATTTTCTTTATTAAAAATATTTTTATTCAAGAACAAATAATTAAGGAATTATTGATACATAACAATTAAAAAATTGTATAATCAAACAAGAATTGCAATAATCTTGTTAGCTGTCCAAATCTGTTTATAACTTTTTCAATGAATTCTGAGTCATCTTATTCTTATGTACACTGAGCATGCACAAACTACTTAATCTCTCGTGAAACATTGTAGGCGGATTCCATGTTTTGATGCTTCGCATTGTACTAAAAGTGCGTTCAATAGTGCACGTAGTAGCTGGAAGAGTTAGGCCAATTTTGACTGCCTCCCCGATACAGCTGGATAAAACGGTGTGGCCTGAATAACTAAATCGATGTATTCGAGGGATTCATAAGATATTGAAATAGATGAAAAAAATTAACAGATGGAAGCATATGTAATAACAAAATAAAATGTAACAGAATATTTTCACTTTTTTTAGGAGGAATGGTAGTTTGTTAGAGGGTTGCACCCCCTTTTATATTATTCTGCCGGCGCCCTTGGAAATGACAGATAATTTTTTAAAAAATAAGAAAAAGTAGGAAATAACAGGAAAAAAGTGAAGGGGTATAGAAATAATAGGAAAAATAGGAGTTCTTTAAGTAAGAATCAAAGACAAAATTATTTGTTTTAACTCTCCTGGACTAAGCAATCAACAGACTCCTACTGTGAGAAGTTGGTAGTAATGACTCCCTCTGCTTAAGGGCCAGGTGATAAGAAAACAGGTGTTAAATGAATCACCCTTTCTTACTGAGCTATGATTGAAAAGAAACAACTAAGTAGGGGGTGAGGAAGGGAATGATTGATGATATTTAGTACAAGACTCTTACTTCTCCTAACAGTATAGGGAACTAATGATTATTTCTAAAATGATGGTAAAGTAAACATCTTTTAAAAAAGAAAGAAAAATCTTCAAATCTGACAAGGAAAAAAATTTTTTTTTGAAAATGGCAGGAAAATTTATTGAATTTCATTCTGGTTATCTGATTTCCGGATAAGAGGTTCTGTACTGTATTAAGAAATTCTGAGTAAAAGAGTAAATTAAGAGAAGTAATCGTGATCAAAGCAGTCTCTTTTTAAAAGAGAAATATTAGCATAAAAACAAATCAAAAAGTAGATCAAATGAATCAAAACACAGCATTATAAAAAGGATTAGAATCAACAAAGAAATTTTCACAAATGAATTAATAATAAATTGCTCAAATAAAATAAACCCTTACACTGTCAGTATAAGTCAATTGCAAAGCAAATTCTCTGTCAGATATGTCCAAAATACTCCAATGTTGCAATGGTGAAATACCTGAATGTACACCATTAGTATAAACAACTGGATTGTTATTGATGTTTTCTAACAGAAAGAAAAAAGAATAACACATTTAATTATCACTCATAAAAATAACTTTAATTTTTAAAAAAAAACTGTACTATAAACAAAAATATTAAATTGAAAAATATTTAACAAATATATTACTGTTTTATATATAATATTATTATATATTCGTTATAAAAATTAACCACTATTTATGAAATTAAAAATTTGAAAAAAAATGAATCAGGATATTTTGTAAACAGTACTTTTAGCAAATTAAAGAGAAGAAACAAATATTCTTTATTATCAAATAATAATTTTGTTATCCCAACACTTAGCATTTTAAAAAACCTGCAAATAATGTTAACATTTTTAAAATATGTTTATTTTCAGATTCGGTTTTAAATCAGTATAAAGTTTATTTCATTAATAAGAGGTGCTGGTGAAGAAAAAGTTATTCCAACATATTCTTTGGGAATTGCATCAGACTTTAACTGCTGGAATTTGTGAATAAAAAATATCCCAAATGATGCTAAATATTTTTAATGAAGCTAATATTTTGAATGATGCTAAATATTTTTAATTCCAAAATTGATTTATATTGAAATAAATAAAAAAAGAAAGAGAAAACGTTTTTTTCCTATAGAAATATTTATTTACAACATTAAACTAATACTGATGATACTGACAAACATACAGAGGTTTAAAAATTAAGGAACATAAGAAATTAATATATTTTTAACTTAGTAATATATTTTTAACTAAGTAAATTAAGTAGTTTGATCAAATTTAAGAGCAGAAATCATGAAAAAAAATCTTGATCCTACAGGCTTCATGTGCCCACCCTTTCTTCCCTTTTGTCTTTGTTTAGTCAGTAAATTATAGCCTATTGTACAACCTGACTTTGTCCGACTGACAGAGTCCTAGTTTTCTAACACCACTATTAAACAGAAAAAAAATACGATTTAGCATATTTAATCTGCTTCAAACATTATTAAATTACAACTTAAAGTGTTGAATTTATTACAAATAAATCTTCATGTAATTAGAAACTACAAAGTAAAATTTTTAGGATGAAAACCAAAATTTTTCTCATAAAATTTTTCAAAACAAAGTTAATACAATCTCTTTCAGTTATCTTTTAACAATATGGTAACTGTAATTTGTTTCATAAGATTTACGATAAATGGCAGTAGCAGTCTAGACAAAAATACCAGGTTTTGGCTTTATAGATCTAATCCAACTATCTATATCATTAATTTTAAAGTTTTGTCTTTCTATTTTAATTTGCAGAGTTTTGCTAAACTTCTGATATCAAAAATTCCTTTATTAAATACTTTGATGAAAAACAAAAATTTTTCTGGATATAGAGCTTTTGTGTCTTTAAATTGGCTAAATTGATAAAATATTTTCTAAATGACTTAAGTTTCATTTTTCCAAACTAATTAACTAGTTAAAGTAATTATGTAAAGTGTAATTACATATAGGTCAGTTTTCTAAATAAATAGAGTAATATTGAAAAATATAAATACAAAAAAAATTTTTTTTTAAAAGAAGAATGCAGTAAATAACTGATAGCTTTTTATAGGGTGAATAATCAATTTTCCGAAAAATGATACAATATAGAGTTTATTTGAAGTTATTTGCTTATAAATAAGTTTAGAATCACTGAATGAAAATTTGTCGAATAGATCTGTTTATATGGTCTCTTAAATTGAATGGAGAAAATGAAATAAATTTATTAAAAATGTGGGTGTTAAAAAGAATTGTTACAAGCATTAAAAAATTTAATAAGTCTAAATTATTGATTTTATTTTAATAAATTAACACAAAAACGCTCAGCCTATCAAGGGATGCATTAAAAAAACTTTATTTTCCCATTAATGTGATAATGAAACTTTTAAGAAGTACAGCATACTTTTATTAGACAAAAATAGACATTATTTTTGTAATTAAATTTTAAAAAAAATTCAAATTAATTTTTTGAAAATTATTCATAAAAACCCTTTAAACAATGACAGGTGCAGGGCCCTAATAGCTTGAAGACCTGCCACAGTCCAATAATTACCAATGCCACAGTAAAAGCATATCTATTGATGTGCTTTTACTAGAAATGTAGCGGATCTTAAAATTGAGTCAGGTCGGACTACTCAATGAAAACTAAATCTTTCACTTAGACAGTTGCAGGTATTTAGAATTTTTTTTTATTTTATTACCCAGTCAGTTTTGGGTACTGGTTGAAAATCTTGAAACCTAGCAGCTTTTAGCATTGGTATAAACACTTCGTCGTTAGAAACTTTTTCAGTATAAATAACCCATATTTGTGTTACATTGAGAAGAAAATTATGGAAACTTTTACAGTTAATACAATGGTAAGAGAAGTCTAACCTGATTGTTTGAAAATTGAACTTATGAAGTCAGTAAGTAATAAATAGGATTTCTAAAGAAAATGTAACTTAAAGTCACTGATGGCTAAATACATTCATATATACTTCAGTTCAATATAAGCATTAATTAATTTCTACACTTATGGTTGAGTTATGTAAAAATAGAAAGAGTTTTAACAATTTTATGTTTGTGTTCCACCTTAAAGGAATTCAAAGAATTAATATATTAATCCAATGTTTAAAAGTATTTTTTGGTCTATGCAAGTAACAAGATTGATTTAAAAACACAGTGTATGCAACTAATATAGTAAAAGCAACTTTTACTGACAGTGGCAGAAAGTTTTTTTAAAACTTTCCTTAGTTTAAGTTAATATAATAAAATCAAGGCAACTTTAAATTATGTTTTTTTTCTTCCTTCGTGGAGTTAACCAGCAGTAGTATTATTTAATAATTTTCCATTTATTTTTATATGTGCAAAATATGATTAAACATTTTAAAATAAATTATGGTTTTAATTCACAATAAATTAAGGCTGGGGATATAATTTATCTGTTTTTTTTTCTTTTAATGTGTTAATTACATAATCATTTCTTTTTATCAATTAATCAGTAGTGAAATCCAGGAGTGCAAAAAAGTTTTTGAGTCAAGAAGTTTTTTTTTCGGCTTGAAATTTCCCCCAAAAGCTATAACATTCTTTTTTAAGTTACAATAATTTTTTCAAAATATTTTTAGGAAGTGAAGTTTGTACATTATTGAAATTTTCTGATAATTTTTGAAAAAAGAATTTATTTAGTTTTACACAATTCTTAAATAAACTAACCATACGTGTTAAAAGTAATATAAAATCATAACAAATAGAAATAATATATCAAACTAGTCCTACTCATAAATTTAAGGAATTCAGAGTAATAAATGAACAAATTGACAGTAAGTTGATATGGCATAAGGATGCAAAAAATATATTAAAATAAACTTCAAAAATGAATATTATAATATTTAAATTATGATTTACCTTTTCATCTTTCTTATGATTCATCAAAATACTATAATACATTTTAATTTATCAATAAGATTTAACAAAAGTTAGGAATGCACATTGCATTTTCTTTTTAAATTCAAACAAAAATTTTCCCCGAATCACATTTACACGATCAAACATTTTCTGCACCCCTGGTGAAATCTATAACGCCTAAACCAATAATTTTTAGCATAAACAATTTACAGATTGGTAGATTACATGGGTTTTCAAAAAAATAAACTTGCTTTGAAGAATTGTTTTAGGTTTACAACAATTTACAATTTGGTTGCGTTTAGCATAAATGAATGTTACCCAGCACTGAATATCCAGCAAAATAATCTGGTTCTAGGTTCCTTGGCACTGAGTAATTAAAATTGATAGCTGGATACTACAATTCATTAGCCAAGTCAGTCAGGAAATGAAAATCTGGCAGGGAACTGAGCGATTGTGCAATATTTGATACATTCCCTTGTTTTACAACAATTATTATTATAAGTCATTCCAAAGAAATAGCAAAAGAATACAAAATACTTAATTCTAAATTGACAAAACTATCTTTGAAAGAAACACGCTTAAAAGCAGCAGAATTTTCAAAAGAAAGAATAAATATAGCAATAAAGAAAACGAAGGAAATAAAAATAAAAATATGACCACCGAAGCCAACGTCTTCAGGGGTACCGGCCTCGGAAGCCAAAAAACAAAACCTTTTCTACTGAGAGAGAGGCTAAATTAAATGCAAAAAAATATTAACAAAAGCACTAGAAAAGGAATTACCTTGTGGAATTCTAATAATTTGCTTATAATGTCATATGTTCTATTATATGTTCTATGTAATATTATATGTTCTTATTAAATATTTTTTTGCATTTTTTTGAAGCTAAATTTCTTGAGTAAAATGAATTTAAAGCTTTTAGATACATTGATGATTTGATTTTGTTCAATTGCGATAATTTTAATTTTATTTATAGTATTTATCCTAAAGATTTGGTTTTGAAGAAAACTAATGAGAATTGCTTAAATGTTGAATATTTAGATTTTAAAATTGATATTGTTGATAAAATAATTAAAATTGGTGTTTTTGATAAAAGAAAAGCTTTTAAATTTAAAGTTATTTTTTTGAGCAACTTTAATACTAATCTGTGAAATAAAACTTTTAAAAATTTAGTTTTTTCATAATTGGTTAGGATTAAAAATATTTGCAATAACGTTGAAAGTTTTCAGGAGGCTGTGATAGCTTGAGTAATAATGATTTTCCTTTTAACTTTTGTAATATAAATTTTTTGATTAAAAAAATGATTGAATAATACTAGATTTTTATTTCTTTTAACAGGGCACAATTCAAGTCTTAACTGAGCAGCCCCAGTTAAGCATTATATTAATTTGTTACATATTCTTCTTCTCTTTTTTTCATTCTGTGCATTTTATAGAGGGCGTTGTTTTCTTTTGTTTTAAGTGTTTCCTTTGCATTTAGTTTGCTTGCGAAATCGCTGTTTGAAAAGTTTAATGTGAGTTTTTATTTTCTCAAGTTTTTGTTTGAATTTCTTTTCTGAATTGGTTTTATGCATTTCATGTATTTTTTCCTGGACTTATACAAAACCTTTGGGGTACTGAGAGAGTTAATTTTGGCATTTAATTTGGCCTCTCTCTCAATAGAAAATGTTTTGTTTTATGGCTTCCGAGGCCAGTACCCCCTGAAGAGGTAGGTGTCGGTGGTCACATTTTTATTTTTATTTCCTTCGTTTTTCTTTATTGCTATATTCATTTCAAAGAAATATAATATGAACATATTTTGAATAGGTTTTGAAAATTTTTTGTTTCAAAATGACAATAAGAAATAGATAAATTAAATTAACTACAAACTACTATGACTATGAGATCCATGACTATTGGATCTTGTCTGACTCCGTCACACAATTGGAGGATAAGGAACAACAACAACAAACTACTAAGAAGAAACAGGTATTTCTGATGCTGTATAACCAGATTATGTTTACATATAAATATAAATGAAAACAGTTTACCAGCATTTCCAGAGTTTTTATACTTCAAAAGTTTATGTTTTGCTCTGAGATCTAGAACACTTCCAGGTACAAATCTTCTAGTAAATTCCTTTAATTTGAGTAAAGTCAAAAATTGAGGAGGTTCGAAGAAGTCTTCAGAATACATGTCCAGCCAAACCAACAATACTTTTTCAATAGTTCTGAAACAGAATATGGAAAGGGTATAAGATTATGAAAGTTCAATCAGGCAAAAAAAAAAAATATATATATAAAATTAATATACTGGTAATTTTATCTTCAATTGAGAAATTAAACTATTATAATATTGTTTTAATATAATTTCAGAAAATTATTTAATTTGAATTGGTGTAATTTATCCTAATTAAAACCAATTGGAACCTTTTGACAAATCACAAGAAAAGTGAATTCTTATAAATCTATTACTCATTGGATACACAAATGAAAAATCAGATGCATTACAATGTTTGAATGTATTATCCAGTCAATGTATAGGGGAATTTAGACAATGAAAAAGCAATAAAATATCAAGAAATTAAATTTAATTATGTTTCTAACTAAAATTGCTTTTATGCACTCTCCTCAAATTTACAATTACAAAATACCATGCCCACATTACCAATCCCATATATTTTAGTTAAAATATAACAAATAATAAACATAAAAGCATTTTGTAACATATAAACTAAAAATGCAACCTCTATCTTAAAGGCAAAATTTTCTTGTTATACATTTTAATTTAATCTTATCCTCTTGTTATCAATTATGCTTTTGGGTGAAATTTTAGTTTATAATTGCAAATAAATTTGTATGTACAGTAAAGAACCCGTTATCCGGAAATCAGAAAACCGGAAAACCAAAAAACCGGAAAGAAAATCGATAAATTTTCTCGCCATTTTTTAAAAAAAATTTTTTTCCTCATAAGATTTCACGATTTTTCTTTCTTTTTTTAAAGATGTTTATCTTACCATCATTTTGGAAATAATCATTAGTGTATTACTTCATCGTTTTTTTCTTATTTTTAAGATTATTTCCAAATTTTTTTTTTTTAGTTGGGTTTAACAATAAAAAAAACGGCTTTTTGTAGCGATTCAGAAAACCGGAAAAATCAGTTATCCGGAATAGCGATGGTCCCGACGGTTCCGGATAATCGGTTCCCTACTGTATTATAAACTACACCAATATTTCTTAATTGAAATATAATTTATCTTACATGACACTGTTCAGCTATAAATAATTTCAATATAATAGAGGATTTATATTTGATTGTAACAGTGGGCACAACTATAACAAAAATATTGACATCCGAGATTGTCGCAGAATATCACTGTATCTGTATGTCAACAAAACAAATAAGAAAACAAAGTTTATACTGCAATGAATTTATTTTAAAAACATATTAAACTGGTAGACATACTCACAAACAGAGGGACAAATGAGCAACAAAAAGAAAGAATGATACAAACAATAATGCTTCAACAGAAGCTTAAATACTCTTTAAACAGATAACGAATGACGTCATGATGCATGCGAGAACGACCAACAGCAAATTAAAAGAAACTGGCCGATCCCTGCAGACCGTGACATTACCGCGGTAAGTTGAATGCATGAGGCCGTCATCTTAAACGACTGACAAAGATTGAATCTATAAACTTTTGTAATTTAATCAATCCAAACAGAATGATACTATTGAATTTAATATAGGGGAAGAAATTAAAGATAAAATTTTATAACATGTTTTATTTAAACCACATTTTGTAGTTGTCTCTTTTATTTAATAAAAAGGAAAAGAGATAAAAAAATAAAAAGCAATTATAAGCTTCATAAAAAAATTGATTAAAATAAAGTTTAAAAATAGAAAAACCTTTTATGATTTTCTCGAAGTTCCAAAGAAACTTTTGAGCTTTCACAATGCATTTGCTCATACCTAGAAGAAATGAAACTATATTTAAAAAAAAATATTTAACAACGAGTACAATTCATTATGTTAAATGGACACTATTTAAGATAAATATTTTTTATTAAAAAAAATATTGAATAATTAATGCTATTTATTACTAAGCACAAAAGATTTTTTCAAGGTAAAGCAAATTATTCATTAGATTTTTCTCTTTTTAATATCTTCTATATAAAGCAAGATAGATCAAAGTTTACTATAATGATTTTCAGAGTTAATTAACAAAAAAGTTTTTTTTACAAAGACAGTTTAAATTATATTATTTTAAAATATGTTTACCTATTTATAAGGATAGTTAATACTTGACTTGGAACTGCAAAAGATCTATAAGTTGATAAAAAAATATTCATGTATGTAGATTCAAGATCTCCTAAATCTGTTGTAAGACTTTCAACTAATTTTTCTATAGTGCCTGCTTTTATCATTCTTATTCGAATGGTTTCCCATTCAAGATGTGAAACTTGTTCAGATGAATCCTAAAAATTGAATTAATTACAATTAAATTGATAAAATAGTTTAAATAATCAAATAAAGATATTTTAATTAAATAAATTTGTCAAAACTGTTTCAAGTAAGAGACAAAGAAAACCAAAAAGTAAATGTTTAGGAGAAAAATATTAAAAAAATTATTACAAACAATTGTGTGTATGAGCATGGTAAAACTAGGATACCTTGTAGATTCATAGGTATGTTATCCAGAAAATGCCAATATGAGTAATTCTTCAAAACCTTCAACAAATATGACCTTGATACAGTATTTTAACAGAATTCATTGAAAATTTTTGGTTCATGACTTTTCCTTTCTTTTCAAATTTCTCAAGAAATGCTGTATTTTTTGTAAATGTAATACTCACAATTTTTGATAAAAACTTATCCATAAAGGGATTTGACGGTCAGTTAAAAAGGTATATTCACAAAGATGTCATATTTTTAAAAATTGAATTTTTTGCTGTATGTTTCATAATTACATGAAGATTATTAAAGGAATAAAACAAAAATTACAGAATATTAGAAATTTGAAATCAAAGCATTTAAAATTTGGCAGGACATGAGTATTTTAAGTAAAAATTTCCCATTATTTGTACAAAAAATAAATAAATAAAATAAAGAACTTTTTTTTTAATGTGATAAATTGGTAGTCAACCATGTGTAAAAGATTCAGTTTGTAGGTTTTCTTAAAATAAAGGAAAAAATTCAGATATGTAACATTCACATATTTTTGAGTTTTTCTCCATTTATAAGCAAAACAATAATAAAAAAATGATACAGTTACATGAAGACTCCTTAAAAAATCTTCAAAAATTACCACTGTAAACAATATTAATTTTGAATCATAAAATTTTCAAAAATTATTTAATACCATTGAATACTTAGTCAAAATTTTATTTAAATTTAACTTTCAAATGCAAGACTTTAATACAAATAAGATAAGAAGTAAAATGTTTATAATTTATTACCTGTAAAGAAGGCTAAATAGTGACCAACTATATAAACTATACTTTATAAAACCAGTTTTACCTAAATTAAATTGATGAAATAAAAAAAAAGTTAGACATAAGACTGTTAGTCAGATTGTTTTGCTTTCTGGAAACCATACTACTGGCAAATCGGAATAACTTTTGGACTAGTTTAATAGAAAATGGTTTAATTTGAAGTTGTTCTCAATGTGGTTGAAGTTTTCATGATCCAGAGTTTTCCAAAATAAGAAATTTTCACAATCAATTTCATCTTAAAAACTACTTTCTTGTAAAAAGCTCTTGAATTGTTTTCTGTTTTGATTGTATACTTTTAATTGAACAGTATTATAAAATAAAAAAATTTAACACTTGCAATTTTTTGCATGATGTTTTTATTGTATAACTTACCAAATAATTTAATTTTTAATTCAGTTGTCAGTGTTGCAATGCTAGTTAGCTTTACAAAGATTGTAAAAAAATAAAATAATATCCACAGCATTTAATTAATTAAACATAAATATTAATAAAGGATAGAAAGGATTAAAAGTACAGCGGCCAATGGCTTAAAATTGTACAATCTTTTAGCATGCACATGTGAGATTGAACTGATACCTATTTAGCTTTTTGCCCCCTTCTCAAAACCATATACTAGTTTTAAAACTGAGATCAATTTTTATTAAAATCTAAATAATGTATAGTACAACCAAATTGAAAATACTAATCAACAGATACCACACTTGATGGTTGCTTTCAGATTTCATAGTTTATAAGGAGCTAACTTTTCTTCATACAATGAATTGAATTTTTTTAGGAGCTATTGATATTAATTTCCCTATTTTTTATTACTTTTCACCTCCTACATACAATGTTTAACCCAAGAATGTATCCTGAGTAGAGAATGTAATCTTGCACTGTTTTTGCCACTACTGGATTTTAGAATTGAGATATACTAATCCTGCAGGATTAATAAGTCTTAATTAAGTACTCCTTACAAAGTAAGAATTAATTTAATAAATTATAACTGAGAGAAGTATGGAGAAACAAAGAATTTATGAAGTTTAAGAATATGAAATTTAACCTTTCATTAAGACAATACAAAGAGAATTATGAAAATTATGGACTTAACATGTTTACAGTTAATTTTTAATGCTAAAAAATAAGAATATAAACAGGGGTCTGTTTAGAAGAAATTTGGGACCCTTCACAAAATATTCTAACTTAAAAACAGACCCTCCACAAAATGATTTTTCTTTTAATTGGACTCTTCACAAATTTGTTTATTTTCATTATTGTTTTGTTAATTGAATAAACCCTTCCAAGATGGATTTAATTAAGAAAGATGGATGTAAATGAATTAAGTTTTGTCTTTGGCAGACAATTCTTCCATTATTCGTCCGAAATGAATATTCTGTGTTCAGTAGTATATGCTAAATATCAAATATTTGTATGTTGCATCTCTAATTTAGAAGCAGCAATTGCTGTTTATTTTTGAAAATTTTATTTTTTTAATTATAATTTTACAGTGTTGAGCATAATCTTGTATGTCTTTACAATTTAAAAACTCATTGAAAAAGTTTTTTGCAATAACCGGACCTTATTTGTACAAATTCATAAAAGCAGGAACCTGGTTGAAAGAATGTAATTTTTTCACAATTTCACGAAAACCGAACCTTTCACAAAATGTTTGGACAGACCCCTGATAAAAAACATAACCAATCCAATGAGTCATCCCTATATCAAGATAGAATTTTAGTGCCCCATAAGTCGCTCAATGAATAGTCTCTTTCGACTCAACTGTAGTTAGTTTTATGAATGATACATATTCCAATCCACAGTATTGAGTAGTCTATTGAATTAAAACAAATTTAATTATAATAAAAGAGATTTGATTTTACAGATTTAGCTCCTGATTCTTTTGGAATAAAATTTAAACCTAATCAACATGCTCAGTCACCATTATAAATCCACCTATAATTTTGTTTTTGGAATTCCTATTTAATTTTTGGTCATTATAAAAATTCAAATATTTTTTGACAAGCAAATCATTTAATAATAGTGAGAAAAGTTGAAGTCAAATAATTTTGTAATCACTAATTGCATATTATGACTAGACAGAGTTTTACACAAACCTTATAATAAAATTGGAACAGATTTTTCAGACAACTGCACTCGATGTTTGGCAAATTTTTTTCTTGCTAACCAATTTTGTCACATTCTTATTGGCACCCCTTTTGTCATATGCTGAAAATGGAATCAAATATTGCTACCCTAATAAATTTGAAGTTCACTTGTCTTGCAGTTATTTTTTAACACATACCATGCATTTTATAAAAAAAACAGTGTAGGGCATAGGTGGGGAACCTGCGGCCTCCGCGAGGTTCTTGTGCGGCCCTTTGCCACCTAGTACAAAATGGTAGAGTTCGTTTCAAAAAACAACTATTGTACATCAACGCCATGACAGTTGCGCGAAAAATCCCTCCAAAGATTCCTTTACTGAAAATTCCACAATGTTTATGTAATTTACATATCTAAAAGAAACGAATAATGTTCTATGTAATATTTATTTGAAAATAAATTAAAATTACAAAATACTATTTACAAAATTTGTGAAAAATTAGTGTGTGTGAAAAATGAGAAGCATCATCAGCAGGCATCTTTTAGTGCCTTTGTAAATCAAAATTCCGCTGCAGTTGCTGTTACGTATAAAATAGCACATACTTGGAAAAAGGGGCAAACCATTTAGTGACATTGAAATAATTAAAGAATGTATTGTTGAAGCAGTGAGTATGTTAGATCCAAGAAATGTCGACAAATACAAACAATTACCTCTTTCAAGAAGAACTGTAACAGACCAATAGCACGAATTAGCGCAAAATGTAACAGAGCAACTTCATACAATTATACAAAATGAAGATGTTTATTTTTCAATTGCTTTAGATGAAAGCACTGATAAAACAGATTCGGCACAAGTTTTATATTTTATTCGTGCTATAACTAAAGATTTTCATTGTTACGAAGAACTACTTGCGTTGGGTACACTAACTGGAAGAACTCGCGGAGCCGATATTTTCGATAACTTCAAAGAAGTATGTAATAAATTACAATTGAATGTCAGTAATTTAGTCAGTGTTTGCACCGATGGCGCACCTTCCATGAGAGGCAAAAAAGAAGGATTCGTTGCTTTGTTAAAAAAGGAAAACTTAAACTTGAAAAAATTGATATCATTTCACTGCATTTTGAATCAGCAAAATCTTTGCGCAAAATCTACCATTTTGCAAGACACTCTGGATAGAACCATTGCCATTGTCAACTATATTTGCGTAAATGCAATGCATCATCGTGAATTTCGGCAGATGCTCTCTTTAGATGAGGAAACGTATAGTGTTGACCTACCATACTACTGCAAGGTTCGCTGGCTATCGACAGGTCAGGTTTTGATAAAAGTTTTGTCTTTACGACGACAAATTTTAAACTTTTATCAAGAACAAGGAAAACAATGTGATCTATCAGATGAAGTATTTCTCAGAAACCTTGCATTTTTGTCTGATATGATGACAAAACAAAACAATTTAAATATTTGCCTGCAAGGTGAAACGAGGTATATTTATGAAATGTGGTAAAAGATCCAAGCGTTTAGAAAAAAATTATCATTTTTCAAAACATTGCTTTGTCGATCGAAAATATCTGCACAACACTTCCCGAAGCTAGCTAAAATGTTAAATGAGCAGAACTGTGAAAATAAAATATTCGATGAATATGTAGGTGTCTTGGATTGTTTAATAGAAGAGTATACTAAAAGATTTTCTGATTTTGACGAGCACACTCCTGCTATGAAACTGGCATTTGAACCACATTTAATAGATATATCCGAGATTCCTGCAGAACTACAAATGGAGTTAATTGATTTAGGGGAAGATAGTATCATCAAATCCCTTTTTAACGCTAAAAAGGATCCCATAGAAATCTGGAGAAATGCTGTTGAATATCCATGCCTTTGAGAACATGCTCGCCGTTTACTTTCCTACTTCGGAAGTACCTACTGTTGAGAGACAACATTTTCTCTCATGTCAAAAATAAAAACAAATTTAAGAACGCAAATTACAGATGCACATTTAGAGGATCAATTAAAGCTGTGTGTTACGAAGCTTGATCCAAATATACAATTACTGTCAAACAAAAAACAAAGCCAAATAAGTCACTAACTTAGTGAATAAAAAAATATTTTTTATTGTATTTTTTTATAATATTTTTATATTATTTTATATGTATATTATATTTAAAATTTTGTAGTATTATATTTTATTTTTTCTATATAATGCAATAAATTGTTAAATCTATAGAAAAACTATAATAATTTCACAAAAGTCACTTTCTTAGGTCAATCAGCTTATGCGGCCTCTCTTATTGCTGCCTAATTTAAATGTGGCCTCTAATGGTAAAAAGGTTCCCCACCTCTG